ACTATCTACTGGGGCTTTGGGGAGAAAAAGGGAAAAAAAGGAGGAGGACTGGCAATAGATGTTAGCTCAGGGCCAGTCTTCCTCAGCAAAAAGAGGAGGATTGGCATGGATGTTAGCTCAGGGCTGATCTTCCTCACAAAAAAACAAAAAAAAAAAAAAAAAAAAAAAACTGCACCCACCAGGGGGAAGTGCCCCCACCAAGGAATTGCACAGCCCTCACATCTCTAAGTGTGGATACCAATAGGACTACTGTCTTAAAGTCAATGGGAAGAGGAAATGAAATTAAGAGTATGGGGGAGCGCTGTGCCTGGCACCTGGCCTGCACTCTTTAAATGCTCCCTCCCACTGTCACCACCACCCATCTCCGCAGACCTGGGAAGACGCCCCACAGCAGTCTTCCCAGGTTCCAAACAGGTAAATGGTAGGAAGGTGTTGGTGTGTTTAGAATCCCTGAGAAGTATAATCCTATACCAGATTCTGAGGGAGAAGATGACCCTGGAACCCTCTCTCTGGTCCCAGGTTACCCTTGCCCAGGCTGCTGCCGCTGCTAACTAAACCTCCAGGAAGGCTCCCCACAGCTCCACGCAGACTTTGAGTAGGTGACAGCTGCAGCGAGAAGGCACAGGGCAGCCTGTCCCCGGGGAATGCGCTGAGCCCTGCTGGGTGGCTGGGGTCAGGGTCCCTGGCAGGGAACCAGTGTGGCTCCTACTTGCAGCCTTCTGGGAGCGGATACTTGATGACCCAGATGAAATAGCCTTTGCAAAACAAAGAAACCACCAGCATTTGGGGGCTGAGCCTTCAAAGTATTAGGTCCAATGGACGCTAAAGGAATAGGAGTATATATCAATAATATATATATTTATATATAAAATAAATATATCAATGGCAACCAACATATAAACAGCTTTTACCACGAGTCAGGTAATTTACGCGAAACGACTCCAATTATCTCATTTAATCCCCACAACTCCCCTAAGGGGTAAATACTATCCTTATCCTCATTTTACAGATGGGAAAACTGAGGCTCAGGGACGTTAAGCAATCAGTTCACGGTCAAGGCCTAGTAGCCCGAGGCAGGCAGTGTAATTCTAGATCTTTCCTTCTCATCATCTCTCCCTGTCCCCTCAACTCCGCTCCTCTTCCTCCCCCTCTGGAATTCTCTCCCAAGTCATGCCCTACTTTCTGGGCCTGGCGGAGGCCGAGGAAGCAGCCCCCCACCACCGTCCTTGCAGAGCGAAGGCCCCGCACCTGCGACCCGGCGTGGGCACGCAGTCGGAGACAGGAACAGACGTGTAGACCTGGCCGTGCACATGCAAGCACCCACGTCTGGGGGTGCACAGGGGCCCCAGCTTCCTCCCGGCGGTCCTCCCGGGCTGCACCGGAAGGCCCCCCTGCTCCCCAGTCACCCTCGTGCCCGCCCGCCACCCCACCTGCCCCTCCCGGCGGAGACCCGGCCGCCCGCAGCCCGCCGAATTACCCAGTTGCAGGCCCGGAAGGCAAGCACGCATCGGGAGCCCAGCGCGCCCCTGCCGCCGTACACCAGCACCCGGCGCGCCTCGCCCGCGGCCGCCGCCATCGCGCTCCTGCGGCTCGGCTCCCGCAGCTGCGAGC